GAGCAGGAACATCATAATGAAGTTAACGTGGGCGCTGCGCAGTATGCAATAAAATATGATAAAAAGTCGACAAGACACACCAATACACACGAGAAAGAAGTTGAACAGAAAAAAACAACAACATAATAAGCAAAACAGAACATGCAACGACGAAAATGTGCAAAAACAATCCTCATGTGGAATACAGTATGATGTCGTTAACGTAAATGCACCAAGATTTTCAATGAGTTTTAGAGACATTGAAGATTCAATCCGGTCGTTTGATGGATCTGTAACACTGTCAATAAAATTGTGGCTCGAAGAGTTTGGGGAATTGGCAAGTGTAATGTATTGGGATGACTTCCAGAAATTTATATTCGCGAAAAAATCACTGAAGGATCTAGCGAAACTATTCGTTTCAAGTGAAAGAGGAATCACTACGTGGATCAAATTAAAAAAGGCTCTTTTGTGTGAATTTGGATCATCCATGAACAGTGCTCAATTACATAGACTCCTCACCGAAACTTCAAAATATCTAAAAACGGAAGTGTCCATGAATATTTTCTGCATATGAAAGAAATTGCATCTCAGGGTTCTATTGAGGACAATGCATTGATTCAATATGTTATCGACGGTCTTAAAGATTATTTTTCAAATAAAGCAATACTCTACGGTGCGCGTAATCTTATAGAATTTAAAGAAAAACTCAAGTGTTATACTTAACGAAACAAAGCATTCTGTCGAGAAACAGATTGTTAAAAGTGATAAGAATATTTTGTGCTTTAACTGTGGAAATAAAGGACATTCATCGAAATTTTGCAGAGATAAAGAAAAGGGACTAAAGTGCTTTAATTGTGAAAATTTCGGACATATATCAAAAGACTGCCCTTTGAAAAAAGAGAAAAATGAAAAACCGAACGTACGATTAATTGCCGATGATATCATGAGAAAGAATGTGAAATTCGGAGAACTTGAATGGCTTTCATTATTCGATACAGGTAGTAGATTCAACATTGTTTCCGAAACCGAATATAATCGTTTGGGTAAACCGAAACTTTTGAAATCGAACTTTCATTTAGTCGGATTCGGTAAAAACGCGAATGAGAATAAAGTTAAACCTTTAGGCAATTTTAATGGTGAAGTAACAATAGACAATGAACAATATACATTATTTTTCGGTTAATTGCACATCAAAATTTGCACAAATTTTTGTTCAATTAACGAGGAACTAACTATGAAATGAAATATTTTTGACCCATCATGTGGTTCAACTAAGCGTGGAAACCAATTAACCGTAGGGTCAATTAACCGAAAAATACTGTAATTTAACATTCCATGTCGTACCAAGCTCTACAATAGACGTCGAGGTAATTCTGGGAAAAGAATTTTGTCAACTTGCTGAGATAAGGATTACGTCTGATGGCCTGAAGATCAACAAGGTAACAGAATCAGGATTTGAAGAGACGCATAGTATTTTGAAAAAGGACGTGTGTAACGACGACAAATGTCATATTGATGTAAATCCTATGGCTAGCGAAGATTCGAAATTGAAAGTAAAGAATATGATCCTGAATTATAAACCTTAAAAGATTAAATCGACGAATGTAGAAATGCGTATCACCTTGATTGACGACACACCAATATATTGTACATTGTAGTTGACGGACAGATTGATAAATGGCTTGAGGAAGGTATCATTGAACCATCTGAATCGGAATTTTGTAGTCCAATTTTCCTAGTCAAGAAAAAAGACTCTACATACAGACTGTGCGTGGATTATCGAAAAATCAATAAAGTCATTATGAAAGACCATTTTCCGCTGCCTTTGATAGAAGACCAGCTCGATCGACTTCAAGGAGCAATGATATTTAGTACCCTAGAATTGCGCAATAGATTTTTCCATGTTAATGTCAACGCCGATAGCCGGAAATTTACTTCTTTTGTCACACATGGTGGACAATACCAATTTCTCAAAGTACCTTTTGGATTGACCAACTCACCTGCCGTTTTTCAACGCTATGTTAATGCAATATTTAGAGACTTAACGCGTGAAGGTATAGCGCTACCATATGTTGATGATGTTCTAAGTACTTGCAAGGATTACGGGTTAGAATTAAATATAAAGAAATGTCATTTTCTACAAAGACGAATCCAGTTTCTTGGTAACATAATTGAAAATCAACAAATTTCATCAACGCCTGAAATGATTAAAGCAATGGCGAAATATCCACAACCAAAAGATACCAAACAAGTAGAAAGATTCCTTGGATTAGCCGGATACTTCAGGAAATTTATACCAGACTTCGCATTGATAGCAAAGCCGTTAACCGACTTAAAAAAGAAAGATACTTCGTTTAGATTTAACGACGAACATATAAAAGCTTTTAATAGACTTAAACAGATATTATGTGAAGTACCTGTTTTAAAAATTTTCAACCAGAATTATGAGACTGAAGACGCGTCAATAGATGGATATGGAGCTGTCCTTTTACAAAAATCGCCAGAAGATGATTTTCTACATCCAGTCTATTATATGAGTAAGAAAACCAGCGACGCCGAAAGAAAATACACCAGCTATGAACTAGAAGTGCTAGCAATCATACAAGCTTTGGAAAAAATTAGAGTTTACCTAATTGGGATACATTTTAAAATAGTCACTGATTGCAATGCCTTTACAAAAACATTAGACAAAAAGAATTTATGTACCAGAGTTGCACGTTGGGTATTATTCTTACAAGAATATGATTATGCAAATACAAGACGACGATCTCAACACCATCCAAGAAATTTTGAAAGAACAACTTGACTATAAAGAATATTTCATGAAAGGAGATATTTTGTACAAACTAGTAGATGATAGCGAATTGATAGTTGTACCGAAAGTAATGAGAAGCAAAATTATCAGGAATGCACATGAAAGAGGACATTTTTCAGTAAAAAAAGACCAAAGAGCTAATTTCCAAAGAATATTACATTCCAAATCTAGAAGAGAGAATGGAGAAGCATGTATCGAATTGTATTCCGTGTGTTATCCTAAATCGAAAACGTGGTAAGCAAGAAGGCGTATCAAATCCGATACCCAAAGACGATACTCCACTACATACCTACCATATCGATTTTTGGGACCTCTTCAATCAACAAGCAAACTTTACAACCATATTTTTGCCGTTATCGATAGTTTCACAAAATTTTGTTGGTTGTATCCTACAAAAACGACTTCTGACAAAGACGCTATTTCCAGACTTACAATTCAAAGTACAATTTTTGGTAACCCAGCGAGAATAATTTCAGATCGAGGATCGGCCTTTACAAGTGATGAATTCAAAACTTACTGTGAAGAAGAAAAGATAGATCATCTTAAGATAACTACAGGACTTCCTCGTGCAAATGGTCAAATTGAAAGGCTCAATAGCATCATAGTATCCGTAATTTCAAAATTAAGTATCGACGATCCAGCAAAATGGTATAAGCACGTTGGCGCAGTGCAACAACTTATAAATTCATCATACCAGCGAAGTTTAGATACAACACCATTTCAAATGCTAATTGGGACCAAAATGAGAACAAAGAAGACTAAAATTTGAAAGAACTACTTGATCAAGAACTTATTACACTTTACGACGAAAAGAGAGAATTTATACGAAACTCTGCGAAACAACAGATTCTGGCCGTACAAGAATAAAATCGACGTATATTCAATAAAAGACGTAAACCAGCGAATCAGTACAACGAGAACGACGTAGTGGCAATTAAAAGAACTCAGCTTGGAGGTGGCCTCAAGCTCAAACCAAAGTATTTGGGTCCATACAAGATTGTAAAGATTAAACCAAACAACACCTACGACGTAGTCAAAATTGGTAGCAGTGAAGGACCAAAACATACATCGACTTGTGCAGAATTCATTAAACCGTGGCCCGACAACACGAGTGATGACGATATGTAAGACTGCAGGATGGCCGAGTTGTAGGACGAAAAAACAAACTAAGCCTACACACACGCATCAATCAACCACCAACATCACACATCAATCAATGCAACGATGAGCAACGATCAGTGCATACGACGACGCGATACAGAACAGACGTGCTCAGACAACTCTTCATTCTCTCCATTCATTTTATTACATTCATTTAAATACCCCTAAACATTATTCAATAAACTTTTCTTTTAAACTTTGACTAAATAAACAGTGTTTTAATTAATTGAGCCAACGGGTAAGCATAAATCCCACATTAAGAAAATATTAAAAAAAGTACTTTTATTGTCATTAGAAAACAATTGAAAAGAGCATAATATTCGGCCGGACCGAACATTGGATACTCAAACAAAATTATGGTGGAGGGTATAAAATTGTGACAGTAAAGAGTACCAGCAGCTATGGTGATGCGGCTGATTACTTTGATTGTCGCTGACATAGAACAATACAAAAGTCCATTTAGCGCATGACACAATGAATAGGTAGTCCATTTAGAGCAGCCGATGTCTTGATTAACTGTCAAAGTGCGTAATTTCTACTTGAATTCGATGTGCAATGCTGCCAACTTTTTGAAATATTATAAGGAACAATTTGACAGATGGTTGAGACAAAAACAAATGTTTTTGTTTTGATACATCACCTTATTATTGCATCATGATTTAGCGCATGTTTGCAGCCATGGCCTATAAATAAGGTCACCAAGATAGCAATCGAAATCGGAAAACAGCAGTTTTTTCTCAAGTCTAATGTCAAAAATTTCGACTTTGTTTACGTTTTAGTAATGAAAGTCAATTTACAATAATGCATTTTGACAGCAAACTTGAGAGGTATCGATTAACAGCTGGTCTCCCTGGGTGACCTTATTTATAGGCCATGTTTGCAGCATTCCACAATGCACAATCATCGCGTAAAGCGTTTGTTCACGTCGTTCATTTCGCGTTAACGCGTACGACTATAGTTAATCATTCATTGTTATGCCCGCACCTATTTGTACTATTTGTTGATTTATTTTGTCTAACAATTAAAATAAAACAAGAATACCGACATGGCTTCATATGTTCGGGCGTTGTATGAATTCTCGGGAGAACCTGGTACATCCGAAATATCAATTTCTGTGGGGGACGTACTGCAAGTAACTCGTACTGATGTTGGTGAAGGATGGTGGGAAGGTGGGTATTGCCTTTGTGTATTATTTACTTTTATATTGAACCATTGTCTATAAAGGTAAAAATACAAACACGGGATGTATTGGACTCTTCCCTGCGGCATATGTTGAAGTAATGTCCGCTGTAGAAGCAAAGCAACAGCAAAATTCTCAAGTTTCACAATCTACGTCTGATAGCCATAACACCACTGCAAGATATGACTCAGCAGTTGACGATTATAACGATGGTGATGACTGGGAAGATGATTGGGATGAAGACAATGACACATACTCCGAAATTGGACCTAGCAACAATATTAGCTCTAAATATACAGAGAAACAATTGTCGCACTCTGCTAGTAATTATGATAACAGAAACCTACCAGCTACTCCAAATGATGACAATTCAGTACCAATGCCCGGAAACAATAACACTTCAAGTCTGAAAAAATCTAGTATGTTTGGGAAAAGTTCAGATTCATTTATACTCGGTCTCGGAAATAAAGATAAATTGCCGGATAACGAATTGGTTAAAATTGTTCCATATGACAATTTTTATCAGTGGCAATCAAATGAAGGGCAATCATATTCGGTCATTGTTGCCAGTCCCAAAAAGGAGTCCAAATTTAAGGGGATGAAGACTTTTATAGCTTACCAATTGACTCCCAGTTTCAATAATATATCAGTAAGTATTTCCTCTTTTAATTGTAAAAATTTCTTTAAACTAAACTCATAGGAAAAAACAAGTTTATAACCACAATCTTTAATGAAAAATCTATGGACTTGTCGGCTTAACTCTAGTAAATACAACTTGATTTTTTTGTTTTTGAAAAGTATTCCATAGGAAGACATTTATGCAATTATAAAAGGTAACAGTAAAACCCAACTAATTTGATTCCAACATAATACTTGTGTCAATAGAGGTGGTGATGCAAATGTGTTAAATTGAAATTTTACACTTAACATGCTACATGTGTTGTCTTTCCATGTATCAATTTGAAAATAATATTCTAACAATTTAAGAGATATTTGAGAAAATATTTTAAATTCCATTAAGTGATTTTAAAAAAAATGCAGGTAATGTGGTATACCACATGATGTTAATGTGGTATAGTATAATTTTCACTTCCAATTGATATATTATATAATTTATTTTTTTAATGAAAGCGAATTAGCTCGAGATTTATGTGTGTTAAGATTTTTAACGGATACGTTAAGTGGTACTTTAATTTTTATTATATAATAATGTCTACCACAGGCAATATTTAATTTTTGTATGAAGAACTTGTTAAAACTCATAGCCTTTGTTTTTCATCCTTGTGATTAATGATAGACTCTCGTAGATTACAAATGTTTCAAATAGTAATGAGATTTTGTCTTGTGCTGGCTTTTTTTCATGCAGACTCAAGGTATAACACATTACCTGCATTTGTGTTTACTGAATAAACGTATAGTTTTTTGTCTTAAATTGGTAAATATGTGGTCAATCGCGCATATTATTTAATTTTTAGTACTTACTAATTATTTTAATGCTTTAAAAATAAAGATTAAAAGACATCTGTAAAACAAAAAAAAAAAATATTTTTAAACTTCAACCGAGTCAATTTCATGAAAATTTTAATTTTTGCTACTGATTCTCAAACTGAGTTAAATAAATTAAACAGATCATTGCTATCTTATTTTTTGAGAACAGCAAACTATAGAACATGTTTCAGTTATTCTAAAATTTTCAGTTTACAAAAAAGTGACTATACCACATTACCAACCTATACCACATTTGCATCACCTCCTCTATATAACAAACAATTTGTTTATGTTATGTTTTTCAAAATGTCCTCCCGCATTCAATTTACTCAATCTGTCTGCTGGGAAAGCTTGAGAGAGCAAGAATTTCTTCATTGAATAACTCACCAGTTCCAGGATTTCCACATGTGTTACACATATAACTGGCAATGACTCAATTAGAGGAAATATGTGAAAGTGATAGATGTTCATTCGTGTTTTTTTTTATATTTAGTTTTTAAAATATCTAATTTTTATGTTTTTTACATCTTTTGATTACATGTTGTTGACACTAGTATTACTTATAACAACATGTTTCCATGTAGTTGTTGTATCGTTTGTTGTACAACCACCTATTGCCCTTGCCTCATAATGCTAATCCATGATTGTGGTAATTATCCGGATACCCGTTTATTTGACCATGACGTTACCAAATAATTTTTTTAACTTCCACGAAAAGCCACATAACTCGTAAACAACATTGGTGATGGAAACAATTATTTGTATGGGCACTGAAATCTTTTGTGATTTTCCCAATTAAAACAATGTTTCATTTCCTTTGCAATTGATTTCAAATAATAATTCATGGATACAAACGGTTATGTTATTTTGTGTGGTTCTAAATGACAATGACTAAAGGGCCCCATACACTATACATCATGCCGTACAGCATTTATCATAGTATGTGTTATTTTTTGAAAGTTTATTTACATATGTATGTGTGACACACACAATGCATGAAGAAAATCAAAATAGTTTTGATTTTGAAAATGAAACCCTTTTAATCTGGTGAATTTTGTTCATTTTCAAAGTTGACAGTAAATAATTTTGAGTATAAAAATAATAAAATTGTGACGAAATAAAAAATAACTGAATTTACGATTCAAAATGTGATTTTTTGGACAAAAATCGATTTTTTGGAATAGTGATTGAAGAGTTTGCCATACACTAGTCAATCTCACATATACAAAAAGGGGTTCATCGGCATGACGGCATGATGTATAGTGTATGGGGCCCTTAAAACTATTTTTCAAACATTCTTATAAACAAAAAATTTAATGAATTTGTGGTTAGATTTTTTATATAAATAATTAAAATTTTATCAAATCTAAAGGGCCCCATACACTATACATCATGCCGTACAGCATTTATCATAGTATGTGTTATTTTTTGAATGTTTATTTATGTATGTGTGACACACACAATGCATGAAGAAAATTAAAATAGTTTTGATTTTGAAAATGAACCCCTATCAATCTGGTGAATAATATTCATTTTGAAAGTTGTCAGTAAATAATTTTGTGTACAAAAATAATAGAATTGTGTCGGAATAAAAAAACAACTGAATTTACGACTCAAAATGCAATTTTTGGGACAAAAATCGATTTTTTGAAATAGTGATTGAAGAGTTTGCCATACACTAGTCAATCTCACATATACAAAAAGGGGTTCATCGGCATGAAATGAATATGTTTCATTTTTATGGTTGTCAAATTTAAATATGATGAATATTATTCATTCTTATTGTTATTCTGTGTTGAATTTTTTTTAATAAATTGGAATAAGTTTTTTTAAAAGAACAAATTATGGACGAGAGAAACTTTGTAATAGAATTTATAGAATATTATCGATCTTTCCCGGCTCTTTGGAATGTTTTCTCCACAGAATACAAAGAAAGGGATAAAAAGGTAGAAGATTATGAAAAACTTGTAACAAAATATAGAGAATGGTACCCGGAGGCATCAATTGAAGATATGAAACGGAAAATAAATACTCTTCGGTCAAACTTCAGGAGGGAATTAAAAAGGATCGAATTGAAAAGCAGAAGTGGAGCTGGAGCGGATGAAATTTGCGAGCCCGTTTTGTACTACTTTAAAGGAATGGAATTTTTAAGAGATTGCGAAACTCCCAGAAAAAGTATAAGCAGTGTAGATCTCACTGATAATGAGGACATGGTTGGTATACTCGTTGGTTAAATTAACTGTATTTGTTTAGGTTATTATAAAATGGAATTGTGAAAATGGAATTCCTTCTAATTACTTGTCCATATTCCCTTCACCGTGGGTTGTGTTGTGATTTTCGGCATGTAATTCTAGCCTAGATTGAATCGAAAAAATAAAAAGATAAGTTTTCGGTCCACTTCATCTCAAAATTATTATCTGATCATCACCGAAAATTATAGGCGTTGTCCTTGATCATGCCTGGGTCCTCATGGAAAATTTCAAAGCGATCACCGCTATATTTCAGCCCTCTACTGTGGTAATGGGTTACTAAATGATATATGAATACGCTACAGCCATTTTTCAAGCAAAAGTCAGGGTCAATTTGACCCGCTAAATATAGACCGATCTTTATCAAAATAGAATTGCTTATTCTTTGGCCCGATTCCCACTCCATGTAAAAATTCACGAAGTTTGGAACATAATTGCGGTCTCTGGAGCGACCAGAAAATCAGACAAAAATAAAGTTTTTGGTCCATTTCATCCCCTAAATATTAACCGATCTTTACCAAAAACAATAGGGGTCTTCATTGGGCAGAACCCACCCTACAATCAATTTCGTGAAGATTTGTCCACACACATGTCAGGAGCGACTTAGCTAGTCGAGATATGACGATCGGTAAACTTAAAGGTGGGTCTAGGAGCAATATTTCGCGGCGTTACAAACTCTTGGTCCTGCACAAAGCTATAATACCCTGACAAACTTAATTTCTGCCACCATATAAATATGGTGGTATCTCAGCTAAACTCATCTCTTCGTGGTCTTTATGTAACGGATATGGCTTTGCCACTTCATGTTAGAATACGTTTGGCTCATGCTTTGGTGTTACCTAAGTTCCTATACTGCTTAGAAGTTTACTCCGGGACTACTTCCAACAATCTTCATTTGATACAGTTAGCAGTCAACAGGATAATTCGATATGTATATAAATTAAATCGATTTGCTCATATCACTCCATATGTGATAGACTTTTTTGGCTGTTCATTTGATTCATTTGTTAAAACTCGCCTGCTACTTAGTTTTTTTAAAACTATTCAGAACCAGTGTCCTCTTTTTTTGGTGAAGGATTTTGTTTTCTGTTCTTCAACTCGGCGACAACAACTTCAAATTCCTATCCATTTCATGAATAATTCATATCCAGTTCGCATAGCACGCTTATTCAATTATTTGCCTAATGAGTTGAAAGATTTTAGCATTACCCCGGCTACATACTCTAAACGTCTTCTTAGACATTTCGATTAGTTTCTTTTTAGAATCATCGATAGTCCATTATATGCACTATAATTTTTGAGCGCAAAGCGGTTATTTATTTTTTCATATCAGTTTTAAAACATAAGATATTTGAAGTTTTTGATCTCATTTATTATTTTTTTTTGTATCTTATTAAGTTACTTTAATTTTTTTTGTTCTAAGTTTTTTTGGACATTTCTCAATGTCCATGTTTTTAGAGTAGTGCCATATATCAACGATTTTGCATAATGTATTCATAATAATTGGCCAAATAAGGCTTTGTGTACATGTAAGAGTTTAAATAAATAAATAAACAAAGCTTACCACACGTCATTCTCCACTCAGTTCAATAACAATTTCAGGAGAAATGGAAAAGATTTTATTGAAAGGGTTTTAGAATTAGTACATTGTTTATACAAAGTTTGACTGCCAAGGTACTTGACCTTCATTTATAAAATAATCTGCAAAGTCATTTCTAATGTCTTTTGCAATTTGAGATGCATTTCTTGATAGACTTGGAAGTAAATTATTCAAATTTGCAATTTCTCTCCAAGATCCATTATTTATTATTCCACCACTTATATCCTCTCTATCAATGGCACTTTGGGGTATGTATTCAATTTCACATTTGCTGCGCAAGTAATTGTGTAGATAGCAACAGGTTAGTACCAC